TATGTAGGAAATTCTGAAAGGCCCCTTTATATTTCCAATTTTCATCATTAAAAACAATTGCAGAGTAACTTATATCAGACTAACCCTCTTGCTCTGGACAAAATATCAAAGGCACTGGAGAATCACTAAAAGCAGGCATAAACTAGAAGGGATATAAGCCTCAGAAAAAGCGAAGTAAACTATATGAAATCCACATTTACAGTTTGTTTTTTTTTCCGTGAAGGTACAACCCAGTCCATCCAGCAGAAGAGGAACAGTGTGCAAGCAGAAAACGGAAGTCCTGCTATGCTGAGGAGTCAGAGGTATCTGGAGCTGTCACAGCAGCTAGAACATGAGGAAAAATCCTGGAAAAGGCAGAACCACAGAGTGGGTAGCTTCAAAGGATGCATACAACTCTGCTCAAATCCTTAAATAATTCCTGACTATGCATGAGCAAGATAAGATTCAGAAACCCAAGAGGAAGTAAGAGCTGGACAGCTGAAAAGACTAAGTAGAAGGCTCCTGGGGCTGGGGGTTCCGTTCTGCCTTAGAGGGGCTTAATGAACACCTCAGGGCTTGGTAGGCCCCTCACACTTTCCACTGAACCCCCAGAAGGGTCACATCTTGGGAATAAGAGCCCTATCCCATGACTAAGATTTATATCACTGAACTAAGGGCAGAACAGAAGTAGGCCCACCCTAACGTGTCCTAAAATCTAGCATCCATAGGATCAAGATGATCTGCCAATCTTGACAAAATTCAACATTCTTTAGTGGGAGACAAACTTTAAAATCTGTCACCCACAACGTCCACTAAAATAATGTAAAAGTACCATACATGTGTAAAGTAAAGGGAAACTGTACCCATTGTCCAAAGAAAGAGCAGTTGATAGAAACAGAAACACATCCATAGACAACCCAGATTTTAAGAACTAGCAGACAAAGATTTTAAATAACTACAATAAATATGTCCTTAAAATGCACATTTTGTCAATTACACAAATCATAACCTAACCTACCCCCAGAATGCTAGTGAACTTGAGTTGTCCATGACCTTTAATCAAATTGGGATTTAGAATGGTTTATATTTGAAAACCCGAAGCAAACAACTTGAAAGTAATTAATGACATCAAATTTAATCATATATTTACACCTCCCAGAAGGACAAGAGAAAGAATAAAATATCTTATCTCTCTGTAGTGAGAGGGCTTTATTAAGATTTGACAGTAGTTATTTAACAGCAATAATTGAGTTTTATGCAAGATTACACAGGTTCTCCTTATCTGGCATCAAAATCTAATCACAGACTGATAGGGTACTTAGGCTCCTAACAGTGAGAAAAAACAGTTGAGCTGAGTACAAAACTAATCTTCAAAAGTACTTATCTTCATCTGTCAATGTGATCTTATCAAGGATTTTTATAATTTCTATAAACAATCATTATATTTTAGCTGAATCAGTAGCATTATACTGTCTAAACAGATAGTCAGATTCCTTCTATTTTAAAACATTTTCTACCAGTTCCCATCCCACCACTCACCACTTACCCCCACCCTGGCCCTGTAAAAGGAATTTGGCTTCAACTTTCTTTTCTTAATCCACTAAGCAATCTCATGAATAAAAAGATAATCGCATGCCCTGCATGCCTGATAGAATTTTTTATAAACCTTCTAAGTGTTTTAATATTTATTTACTATTTTGTGAAAATAATATTTACTGAACAAGCTAGATCATCTTCTTTCTCCATAGAAAAAAATGTAACGTTGGTGAAAATATACTGAAAGCTCTGCTAAGTACACATTATTTTTGCATAAAATTTTGCTTAAAATTCTGTGGAGGTAGGCAAAGCACTGTAGAATGATTGACATGGCTGCCTTGATATTGTTCTTGCTTTTTCTATGTCCACTTATGTTGACCCTGCCACTCCTAAAGATGCTAATATTACTTTTGCTGAGGTAGGGAATCACTCTCTTTATACAAGTTTTGTTGTTCATCTTGGTCTCCCAAAAGGATGGCCTCAGCAATTTTTTTCTCACTCTCTCTCAAGGAGCTTGTTTCCCTCAAAACAAGAAAGACATCTAAGGGACACACCCAGAACTGTATCCATAAGTATTCCATCCTATCAACAATTAACAAGTACCCAGGGACAGAATTTAGGCAGCTCCATTTTCATCAACCACAGGTGCCTGCCCTCAGCAGTGTTCTCCAGGAACTGGTGGCAACTTCATCTCTCCAACCTTGGTTGGCAAGTATGAGGCTAGTAACCCAACAGTCCAACAAAGAACGACTGGACTTCTTCCCAACAGTGACCCTTAGGTGTCCTCTCCTGGTAAATGCTCAGAGATTGGTCTCCCCTAGAAACCTTCTCTCCCCATGTCAGACCAAAAATATATAGGCAAACACTTAGAACCTATTCGAAATTCTCCACATATAAGTCACCAAGTTGAAAGACCTTCAGATAGAACTAATTTACCTCTCTGTGTGGTATTACCATCCTGAATGCTATGTGAAGTAAATATATTTTTTTTAATTTTACTTTTAAGTTCTGGGATACATGTGCAGAACATACAGGTTTGTTACATAGGTATACATGTGCCATGGTGATTTGCTGCACCTATCAACCCATCATCTATGTTTTAAGCTCCACATGCATTAGGTATTTGTCCTAATGCTCTCCCTCCCCTTTCCCCCCATCCCCCAATAGGTCCCAGTGTGTCATGTTCCCCTCCCTGTGTCTATGTCTTGTTATTGTTCAACTCTCACTTATGAGTGAGAACATGCAGTGTTTGGTTTTCTGTTCCTGTGGTAGTTTGCTGAGAATGATGGCTTCCAGCTTCATCCATGTCCCTGCAAAGGACATGAACTCATTCTTTTTCATGGCTGCAAAGTATTCCATGGTGTATACGTGCCACATTTTCTTTATCCAGTCTATCATTGTTGGGCATTTGGGTTTGTTCCAAGTCTTTTCTACTATAAATAGTGCTGCAATAAACATACATGTGCATGTGTCCTTATAGTAGAATGATTTATAATCCTTTGGGTATATACCCAGTAATGGGACTGCTGGGTCAAATGGTATTTCTGGTTCTAAATCCTTGAGGAATCACCACACTGAAATTTTTAAAGGAGAGAACCAGTGTCTTCTTATTTAACATAAATAGATAAGAAACATGTGCATGATGATATCTACTTAGCACCTTTTAGTTTAAGAAACACATTGTTATACAATAACTATACTAGGCACTGTACTAGGCATTAACTATGCAAAAAATGCATAAGACTAAGACCTCACATTCTAGTAGAAGAAACACATCAACAAATGACCATAATGCAATGGGGTTAACTACCATAAGAGTTGAATAACAGAATAAAGCAAGCAACTAAGGCACCAAATGCCACAAAGAGACTGAACAAGATTTTAGTGGCCAACTCTAAGGTATTAAGTTCCCTCCCTTATTATCTCCAGTTGTATCTCCATTCTTAGAGGAGAATACACCACACTTTTTTCCCCTAGCTAGAAAAACTAAATGAGCAGCCCATATTAAGCTACATAAAACCTTTATTTCCAATGTTATCTTTATTCCAATCCAAACAACCTATTGTTAAGCTTTACTGTCATCACAGCTTAAAATATTTTCACTTTAGTGAAGAAAATCATTTCTGACGTGAAAAAATTAATCTTGTTTATAACATTAAAAAACTAAATCCTGGTGTCAGAACAGATCTCACTGGAAAAAAAGCTGTAATTACATTTCTGGTAAGAAATAAAAATGTGTTGGATAAACTCATGTAAAATGCTTATTAAGCAAGTACCTCTACCAAAGCAAAGAAAAATTACTCCTCACAAAAGTGAAGGAAGAGAAATTTCGTATTACCAAATCTTATTTCTCCAGCATCTTCCCTGAAATAAATAGAATGGATATATATTCCTCTCAAAAATTTTCAATTGAGGTAGAAGAAAAAAAATTATTTGGAGGAAACCTAGAAAAGCTATCATGAAATTATCTCACAGCCTTCTTCAAACAAACAAAATGTCTTGGCTAGAGCAGATGGTTGGAGAAAAAAGGAAAAAAAAACGCTCTTAAGAACTAGCCTGCATTTTCCTTCATCTTTACTCTTTTATCCCCACATAATAATACACACTCACAGCCCCTGCTCCCCGCCCCATCTACACATATGCATACATCTTCCTTTCTCACTGTCTCACTTTCAGAATTAGATTTTTTACACTAGAAAACAAATATGAATATAATATTCACTTATACTGGGCAGAATATTAAAGTTGATATCTATTTGGTTTTACTTAAAAACAAGATCATAGTTAACACGTTAAGGGGAGACTCTAAGAGTATGCCTTAAACTGAAAAACACAAGGGAATCTACTATACATATATATATGTGTGTGTGTGTATATATGTATATATGTGTATATATACGTGTGTGTGTGTGTGTATGTATATCTATATATATATATATTTTTTTTTTTTTTTGAGACGGAGTCTTGCTCTGTCACCCAGGCTAGAGTGCAATGGCATGGTCTCAGCTCACTGCAACCTTCGCCTCCTGGTTTCAAGTCATTCTCCTGCCTCAGCCTCCTGAGTAGCTGGGACTACAGGCATGTGCCACCACACCCAGCTAATTTTTCTATTTTTAGTAGAGATGGTGTTTCACTATGTTGGCCAGGCTGGTCTTGAACTTCTGACCCTGTGATCCACCTACCTCAGCTTCCTAAAGTGCTGGGATTACCAGTGTGAGCCACCACACCCGGCCTACCCCATATATATTAACTAGCCACCCACTGAAAAGTCTTTTTCATGGTGAGAAAGATAACAGTAAGATAGTAAGAAGTTCTTATTAACTAATTATCTGGCATCCACATCCTTCCATCCTCCAACCAAAATCTGTACCAGGAAAGCTCAAGAACCAGTAACATTCCACAGAAGTATTAAAAATAGCGGAGTAGAGCCAAATCTTGTCCAGTGTTCTATCGCAAAAAGAAAACATACGAAGAGAAAAACTTACTTGCAGTATCCTGTGCCATTGTGGTAGGTAACACACATTCCTTCATTTACACAGGGTTCATAGCCATCTCGACACTGCAAGGCTAAAAATAGAAACAAATGCACATTAGAAGTAAGTCACTAATCATAACCCTAAGACACCAAAGAAGAGTAATCCAATCCAGATCAACATTCATTCCCACCTAATTTGTGTTTCTTTTTAGAGTTTTAATCAGCTTTTTATTTTTTGGCTTCTAACACAGAAGCCTATTCCAAAAGTATCTTCCAACAACAACCATGTTTGTGGTCTTGAATGATGCTCTTACTTTTCTGTGTTCCAATATCTCCAGCTGTTACATCTCCTTCTCCCAATTAAAAATTAAAGCCATACCATCTATGACATGACAGATCATCTTGGGATTTAGATACTTCAGACGAGTATTCTAAGGATTCATCAATGAATGTCTAGGAAAATGTTAGATAAATAATAGATCACCATTATATTGATGAATTACTTAGCCTTCAGGTGAAGTTTTAAAACAGACCACTTCAAGTAATCAGAAACAGCAATAACAGTCATTCAACAAACTGAAATTGAGAGCCTAGTATGTACCAGGCACAAAATTAGGATCCAGAAAAAAGGAGAAATGGAATACATAAATGAATAAACATAATCTCTAGCTTTAAGGGGCCCATAAAAAGATGGGGAGTAGAACATGAATACAGATTGTAGAGACAGTATCAAAATAAATAGAAGGAGATAAAATAAAAATTCTCAAACTCTTGATTCCCCCATTCCCTTTAAGAGACAATGAAAAGGCACTTTACCATCTGAGGCCCTCCCAAAAACAGACTATTCAGAAAAAAGAACAAAAACAACAGCAATAGTAGAAATTTTCATTGATTACAGCCAAGAATGGAAGAAGTCTACGCAAAATCTGCCAATCACTTGCCGGATAATTAGAGTATCTTGATTGCTTAGCTTTTAGAGTTGAAATTTTCATCACCAAAATACATATCGAGAACCCTAACAACTGGAAAGGTAAGACAGAAAGAAACTTAGTCAAACAACAAATATCAAAATTGAAGCTCATGAACTCTTCCTTGGAGGTTATTAAGATGTCCATCTCTTATGATAGTTAATGTATAAAAACCTGAAAGCAAAACTGAGAAGTTCCCACTCCAAGCTTCCTCTAACCACAGCACTCTATGCATAAATTGTGCAAGATCAGAGACTCTAGGCCTGCCCATCCCTGGCATCAAAACCAATAGCCCAGGTGCAAGCTGGATGCCAGAACAACTCCTCCACCAATTACTGCATAAAAGCCCTTTATTTGCCCAGTATTGTATCCAGTAGTGGAATCATTTGAGAACATGTTTACAGAAAATGCATCCCATCCTTAAAATAATATTTTTAATGGTAATAGTAATAATAATAGGAGCTAACACATAGAACTTACTAAATACCAGGCACTGTCCTAAGTACTTTACATAAATTAGCTAACTAATTCAATCTTCACAACAACCCTTAGAAGTAAATTTCATTATACCCATTCTCAGGTGAGAAAACAGGGAGGATAAGTGGCCTGCCTACTATCATACCAGTGAGTTAGAAAGCCAGAATTTGAATCCAGAGACTCTGCCCTTAACCACCGAGATAGACTGCTTCCCACTCCCTGAAATTTCTCAGGATTGGCAGGGTGGATATTATTATACCTATTTACCAATAGTGAAGGCCAGAGAGAATAAGTGGCCTCTTCATGGGGCATTGTACCACTAGCTAGTGGGCAGTGCTGGGCCTAGGACCCAGGTCTCTGCTAAGTCCAGCCCATCTCTATGACAGCTGTTGGGATCACACACAGAGTCACCAGGCTGCAGGCCCAAACAGGCAAATTCAGGAAGAGGGTCATCTTGCTGTCCATATCCCACTTCCCTGTAAGGCTCAAATGCTCCCTCTTCCCACACTGATAAGCCCAATGCAACAACTATAATTAAAACATTTAATGTCAGGTTATTTCCTCCATACCAAAGTTCTCAAACTGATTTTTTCATTCTCTTTAGACACTTTTATTAGTTTCAGTGAGAACTTCCGGGGTTTTTTCTATTTACTTTTTTTCTTTAAATAAAATGATAAATAAATAAAACCCTCACAGTAGGAAAGGAATGTCCTGTAGGCACAGAAAAAGCTGTAGCTCTGTCCCCCTGCAGGAATCCTGGTGCAGTGGAGGGACTCAGGAGACCTGAAATCCTGTCTGTACCTCTAACTGCAAGCAAAGCACAACTTCACGGGGGCTCAATTTCCCCACCTGTAAACCAAGCTGAGAGTGAACTAAATGTCCCTGAAGATACCCTGTGATCCACCAGCGACAGCTCCCACCTTAAAAGTACATGAATGGCATGCCCAGTGCCTGAAGAAACCTATCCTGGAGTGCATAAAGACCCAGCCACCCATGACTCAGAATGCCATGGGTGCAAAAATCACGGCCTATTCCTATTAAGTGTCTTGACAAATCATTACAGTGACAGGTTCAGAGAAATACAAACAACCCAAAGTCAATATGTAGCAATCAATCTAGCAAATAACTTTACAGCCTAGCCTTAGTGAACCAATCAAACTCAGTGACTGAAAAGAAGGTGGGCTTACCAGGCTAATAATTAATGCCACTTGGCTGATTTGTGGGATCATGCTACCTTGAACCTTTAACATTTACTGAGCCATGGTTCTCAAATTTCAGCAAGCACTGGAATCACTTGGAGGGCTTTTTAAAAAAGAGTGTTGGACTTGACCCCCACAATTTCTGATTAAGTCCATAGGGAGCCTAGGAATCTGCATTCCTAACAAATTCCCAGGTGATGTTGACACCACAGGTCTGAGGAACCACACATTGACAACAAATATATGAAAGCTTGAGTGTCCACTTTTAAAAATACTCAAAAGATATATAATATAGAGGTCATAGATGATTTAGATGATAATATACTGCCTGAATAAACAGGATGTGGAGAAATGGAACCCTTCTACTCTGTTAATGGGAATGTAAATTAGTACAACCATTGTGGAAAACAGTGCAGAGGTTCCTCAAAAAACTAAAAATAGAATCACCACATGATCTGGTAATCCCACTGCTGGGTATCTACCCCAAATATTTTAAATCAGTTTATTGAAAAGATGTCTGTACACCCATACTAAGTTATGGAAGTGTCCCTCAACAGATGAATGGATAAATAAAAGGTGGTAGATAGGCCAGGTGCAGTGACTCACGCCTGTAATCCCAGCACTTTGGGCGGCTGAGGCGGGTGGATCATGAGGTCAGGAGTTCAAGACCAGCCTGGCCAAGATGGTGAAACCCCGTCTCTACTAAAAGCACAAAAATTAAAGCGCGTCTGTAATCCCAGCTATGCAGGAGACTGAGGCAGAAGAACTGTTTGAACCTGGGGGGCGGAGGTTGCAGTGAGCTGAGATCGCGCCACTGCACTCCAGCCTGGGTGACAGAGTGAGACTTTGTCTCAAAAAACAAGAAAAAAAAAAAGCGGTAGATTGTATACAGAGTGGAATACTATGCAGCCTTTAGAAAGAAATTCTGTCATTTGAGACAACATGGATAGAATTGGAGAACATTATGCTAAGTGAAATAAGGCACAGAAAGACAAATACAGCACGTTCTCACTTATATGTAGAATTAAAAACCATCAAAATCATAGAAGCAAAGAGGAGAATGATGGTTACAGAAGCTACGGGCCTGATGGTCAATGGGTACAAAGCTACAGTTAGACAAGAAGAATATTTTTTTTGTATGTTTGAGATCTATTGCATAGTGTGGTGAATATGGTCAATAATATTGTACATTTCAAAATTGCTAACAGAGTAAATTTAAAAAAATGTTAAATATTTGAGATGAAGGATACAATTGTTCTACATTGTATTTGTAAATTATAACATCACTTTGTACCCCATAAATGTATACAACTATAAATTGACAATTCTAATTTTTAAAAAAGAAAAATAATCTTGAGACTCGTGGCTTTACTCAGGAGCAAAAATGAATATTATAATTATCTTCCATACAAAGAGAAATTAAAACTTTGATAACCTGAAACCATGAAAGTGAGACTGGGAAAGACCTCACTTTAAAATTCAATTTACTTTTTTCCAATGTAAAACATTTAAATTTAACAATAAAATTGAAGGCAGCTTCATGTTTATAAAGTAAAAAAAGAAACATTAAATCATACCATAGAGAATTGATGCTTAAACTGATGCGTTAATAGACTCCAAGAAACTAGTCACTCACAAAGAGTCACTTTTTCCCCCAATTTTCATGTCAATAAATACTTGCTGGCTGAAATAAATCTTATTTACTGTGTGTATCTGCTGCTTGTAGAGGCCCTCCTCTACTCCACCAAAAAAAAAAAAAAAAAAAAGGGCAAAAAGCAGTAGATTTCAATCTCATCACTCCATCACTTGGCAATGTAATACAAAAATCTAGAAGCCAATTTCCAATTTTCATACACTTTCAGGGCCGTGCAGTTGGGAACTAGCTACCTAATATTCAGGACATATTTAGAAAGCATCTACTATTAGCAGGCACAGGTCCTGATGTCAGGGATACCGTAGTATAATGAATAAACTCCCTGTCCTCAGGAACCTTATTTCTATAAGAGAAAGGTGGCTAAAAAATTAATAAATAAAATCATTTTGGACAGTAATAAGTGATAAGTTCCACTGGAAACAAAACCCAGTAATGGGATAAAAAGCAATCATGAAGGCTGGGGGTGCAGGAGCATACCTCATATAGTGTCTAGGAAAGGCCTCCCTGAGGAGGTATGCTTTGAGCTACACTGTAAATGAACAAGTGTCATGAAGATATGAGGGAAGAGCATCCCAGGCAGAGGAAACAACAAGTGTAAAGGCCTTGAAGTGGGAAAGAGACTGGTATTCCAGGGTCATATGGCTAGAGGTTATTAAGCAAGGAGACTGGCCAGGGAGGCAGGCTGGGGTTAGATCACAAGAGCCCATGATAAGGATCACAGCTCTAAGTAGGAGAGTAAACTACTCAGCTGTTTTAAACAAGAAAAATGACACAGATTTATGTTTGACAAAAGT